TTTTGAATGATGGCCATTCTGACTGGTGTGAGGTGATGCCTCATTGTAGTTTTGATTTGCATTTCTCTGATAATTACTGATTTGCTGATTATGTTTTAATCAGGATTGAATAAACCTTAGATCTTCTGATAAGACAGGCCAGGCTGTCATACCTCTTCGTAGAGTTTACAACGATAACCTTAAGGCCATTTGAACTGTAAAGTACAGGGTTCCTTGTGTATATGAGCTGGGACTTCTCGATACTCCAGGAAAGCTAGCCATGCGGTCATCGAGTGCACCCCAGTGACTTCCCCCAGGGGAAGCCAAAGCTGCCTCTATATGGAATCCCCTTTGTGGGTCTCTGCAGACAGAGCCCCTGCTCTGTCAGACTTGTCTGGGGCTGGGGTATGATGACAATTTCCATCCTCTGGTATGATAACCTCGAAACTATCCCACTGAGAACACTGGGTGTTCCTGCTCCCCGTCTGTACAGGCTTCTCTCAGCAGATGAGGGGAGAATTTATTGCTTGTATAAGCATAAAACCTGACTTCATACTCCTTGTTGAAATCAGAGTCCCCTAGTCCCTATGCTTAAGGACTCCCAAATTCCCAGTGGAGAGTCTTTTGGAAATCGCCTTTGGGAATGGCCCCTTCCTCTCTGACTTAGCCAACCTCCCTGCCTCTGGATTTGACCTGGACCCATTTCACCTGCCTTCTCTTCCCTACATTGATGACATCTGGATTTATTTTTTTTCAGGGACAAAAGTACCTACTCGCCCCTTAAAAAAAAAAAACAACTGCTGCCCTTGATCTTGTCTTGATGCCGGTGTCTGGCATTCCAGGCCAGCTCTGGCCTGTGGGCCGCTCACATCCAGGTGAAATATCCCCTCTGCTCCTGGGCTGCCATGAAGCACAGATTACCGTTAACTCAAGCTATGAGCCGCACCACACATGCACGCACCGTGTCTCTTCACCCTTAACATAATGCACTGCAGTGTCCGTAACAGAGCCTGCCCCATGAGCCTGTGTCCTGGGGTGAAGATCTGATGCTGAGTCGTGGCTGAGCAGCACGAGCAAGGACTCATGGTCTCAAGTCACTGAGACGTTTGAGCCATTTGTTACCCACAGCATAATCTAGCCTGTGCTGACTGATACAGAAAGTTAAAGAAATTCTTTATTGCAAGACTTTCCAGGCCCTCTAAAAGACTGCTGTGCTGTGTGAGTCTCCACAGTGGGAACGAGGTTACTGCTTTTCCCAGTCTTAATGCCAACGCTCTCCAACTGAAGTGTTTACTGGGACTTGGACTGCTGCTCCGCAGAGGACAAATGGGTAAATGGTTGTTCATGTTTTTCCAATTAGATTGAAAGCCCCTCAGTGTACACCCAGGACTAGCATAGCATCTGGCACCGGGTTAAGTTTAACAAAAGCTTGTTGATAATAAAAAACAGGAATCCATTCCTACCACCTCCATGCCGGCCACGAGAAAGATTTATGTATGTATTTGCAATAGCAGTTTCTTGTTTTGGGAACCAAGTTGAGTATTTTATATTTCAGCTTAAGTCAAATAAGATCCTGTCCGGCCGGTGGAACTGTCACTGACCTCTGCGGGCGCTCCTTTCTGGGGCCGCTGGGAAGGCAGAGAGCAGCGGGACGAGCTGATCTCCAGAAGAGTGGAGGAAGGAAAATGAGCACGATTCTAACGCCGAAGCTGGTCGGGAAGCACTGCACAGCAGAGGCGCAGTCTGAAGGCCTGGGCTAAAAGGAAACATTTCCCAGATCTACGGCTCTTAGAATGCTCTCCGAAGCTCTTCAAAGTAAGAATGATGATAGCTTCTTAAAAGATGCAGTTGTTGGGGGAAATGATCCTGCCACGGGATCTTTTTCTCAAAAGCACTTGTAGACTCGATCCCTGGGTTCAGAGGAGGAGGGAGCGGGAAACGGGAACCCTCTGGGCCTCCAGTGAATGCTAATGCTAATGCCAGGGCCCCAGGGGACCCGGCGGAGGTGCTGAGGCCTGCGAGGGAAGTGGCCCCTGAGTAGCAGCAGCGCGGCCCCCTCTGCAGCGAGTGGGAGGGCAGGAAAAGTCAAACCGCAGAGTGGGCTCATCAGCTGTGGGCGCCGCGGCCTCTGTCCTTTCACTTCGGGGGGCTCGGGCGGCCGGGGGAGGAAGGGAAGGCTGAGTGTTAACCTGAAGGTCCTGTCATGGTTTCCGTGGTAAACCATGGGCTTTCCAGGCCTCCAGCACCCAGGGCCTACCCCGCCGTGGCCGCCCACCCTCCAACCCCCCTGACCGAACACAGGCCTCTCTAGCACTGGCCGATTTCACTGAGGAAGTGGGCACCTGGCCCCTTCCCACTGAAAAGGGAAAGCACTTCTCCAGCGGGATTTTGATTTGCGAGAGGCCAAGGGACTATAAAGAGAGACAACGAGAGCTTCACAGACGCAGACGTCCTCCCCATCGTGCCTGGCGCTGGGTCACTATCTTCCCGTCTGTACCTCCCCGACCTTCCCCCCACACGATGCGGCAGCTCCGCCACTCCATGTTCCGCAGAGGAGAAGATCACAGCCCCCAGGGCAGAGAAGGGGCTGAGCTCAGGCCCAGCCTCTGCCCTTTACCAGGTGCTGCCCGGGCCGCCATCGTGAAATGTTCTGGCTGAAACGGGTTTCGTGGGAACGAAATACTCCTACGGAGTCAGCATGTCTCCATTTCTCCAGGGAAGTTTTGTCAAGCTCCTGCTTGGAGGGAGTCGGGGATGATTAAGGCTCACCCCATCCAGGAGGTCCTGTGACCTAGAGCAATCATAGGAGGGCAAGGGGATTCCTGGAGGAGGAGTCAGCCAGGATAAAGGCCCTGAAACGGGAGTCACAGCGTGTCTGGAAACTGTAAGCACTCCCGGGCACACCGGGGTGGGCGATGGGCAGGAGATGTGCCTCAGAGCAGAGAGCGGAGTGTTCTCAGCGCCAGACAAAGCTGCTGGGCTTCCTGCAGGAGGGTGTGATGTGACTGACAGTTCAACTGAGCTGATGTTTCACCCTGAGGACTGGAAGTGATGGGAGAGAGGTGAGGCGGGGTGGCTTGGGGGGGTTCAGAGTCTTCAAACGAAGGGGCCAGGCAGGTAGGGAGACCAGGCAGGGGTTAGTTACATGGTTTTGATCACAATGGACCTGGAGGGGAAGGCGGGGAAGGAGGATATTTTGGCTCATGACTGAGCCGCACTGTTCAGTCCCTCACAAAGAGGACTCTGTGTCTTGAATTTATGTGTACACGTCCCTGAAGTGAGTTTTCAGGAGAGGCATGATCTAAATGGAGGACAAAGGGGTGCACGGTCCTCTGTTTGTCTCGTCTGCGCATTTCTGTATTCGTCTCTCTAGAACAAATTTGCACGTGGGACTGGCCCCCGTGAACACGGTGGTGGAGGCAGTCGAAGGCACGGGGAAGACGACGGGACTCAGCTGGCAGAGGCGGCGTCGCCCCCTCTTTGTCTTTCACCTGTTCGCGGCCTCCCTCTGCGTCTGCCCTGGGTTACGGGGCAGAGCACTCTGGGGCCAGAGCTGGGCAGAAAAGACTCGGCACCTAGTGAAAGTAAACGGCGGCCTACAGAGAGGAAATACGAACCGAGGGCGATTCGAAGGCAGAATCCCTCCTAGGATGTTTGAATTGCCAAACATTAAATGACATTATGAGAGAACACGTGGGCTCTGAAACGAGGAGGAGAGGGAAGGCGAATTCAGATGACCACTCTAGTCAGGCTCCCTGGGTCAAAGTGGGTTACAGCCTCCTGTAACCAATCGTGTATTTTATGATTTTCCCTTAAATTTGGTTTTGCATTTTTTCCCTTACTGTATCAGCAAAGTCTGGTCTAAATTAACTAATAACACACCTGGGCCCAGACCTACAAGGCCCCCATGGAATAGTCTAAAAAAGGCTCGGATGTGGGGCAAATCCCAGTTCAAATCCTGGCTTCACTGCTTACCTGTGCTGCGAGCCCAGGCAAGGACGTGACCCAAGCATTGGTTTCCCCATCCTCAGAGTGAGAATACACACACCAGGGATGGGTTGCTGCGTGGATCAAATTATGCAAGTAATACAAAAACGTTGGCACAGGGCCTGGCACATAATTAAAGCAGAATAAAATGTTAGCTCTTACTGTATCATTCAATCCAAACTCATGTATCCTGGCATCTAGACACCGGTAGGCACATACATTTCATGGCCCAGCAGAGATTCATCTCTGCAAAAAGACTTTCTCTGTTTTAGTTTTTCTCTGGAGACAGAGGTGGGCTGTGGGTGTTCATTGTGTGAATGAAACAGAGACTGGCCCACGGCTGATGCAGCACAGAGCTGGACACCTTGCAGGTCCATTCAGGTCATGCCTTAACAGGACACCCGAGCAACACCAAGCCTTTAAGAAACATGGGAAGACATATTCAATATCTTGTAGTAACTTAAGGTGAAAAAGAATATGAAAACGAATATATGGATGTTCCTGTATGACT